GAGGAGGGAGATAGGGGCATCACATTGGGGGAGTTGGAGTACTCGGAGCGGCAACGAGATTTTGGGTACTGTAGGCGCATACGAGTGGGGGAGGTGGAAGAGGTTATGCGCAGGATGAGTAGGGGCAGATCGACTGGGCCGGACGAGATCCCGATGAAATTCTGAAAGAGTGTGGGCAAGGAGGGCTTGGAATGGCGTGCTAGGTTGTTTAACGTCATTACAAAGAAGATGCCCGAAGAGTGGAAGCGGAATACGATGATCCCGTTGTACAAGAACAAGGGGGATGTCCAAAACTGCAATAACTATAGGGGTATCAAGTTGTCAAGCCATACGATAAAAGTGTGGGAGAGGGTGATTGAAGGGAGATTGAGGAGGTGTGTGTCCATTTCTGAGAACCAGTTCGGTTTCATGACGGGATGGTCGACTACTGAGGCCACACACATTGTGAGGAGATTGGTAGAGCGGGATAGGGCAGTGAAGAAGGATTAGCATATGGTGTTCATTGACATGGAGAAAGCCTATGACAAAGTACCGAGAGAATTTCTATGGAGATGTTTGGAGGCTGGAGGTGTGCCTGTAGCATATATTAGAGTGATTCAGGACATGTATGATGGGGCTAAGACACGGGTGAGGACAGCAAGAGGAGACTGACAACTTTTCGGTTGAGATGGGGTTGAATCAGGGATCAGCACTCAGCCCGTTTTTGTTTTCCCTAGCGATGGATTCTTTGACGCGTCACATCCAAGGGGAGGTGCCTTGGTGCTTGTTATTTGCGGATGACATAGTCCTGATTGATGAGAGGCGAGGTGGCGTTAACGAAAGGCTGGAGGTCTGGAGACATACTCTAGAGTCTAAGGGTTTCAAGTTGAGCAGGACCAAGACAGAATACTTGGAGTGCAAGTTCAGTGGTGTTACCCAGGAGGCGGACGGGGATGTGAGACTCGATACGCAAGTCATTCCCAAGAGAGAGAGTTTCAAATATCTGGGATCTATAATTCAGATGAATGGGGAGATAGATGAGGATGTTACTCACCGTATCGGAGCAGGATGGACAAAGTGGAGGCTCGCTCTCGGTGTCTTGTGTGATAAGAATGTGCCGTTGAAACTTAAGGGTAAGTTCTACAAGGTAGTGGTCAGACCGACTATGTTGTATAGGGCAGAGTGTTGGTCAGTCAAAAAGTCACATGTCCAGCATATGAAAGTAGCGGAAATGAGGATATTGAGATGGATATATGGGCATACTAAATTGGATAGAATTAGGAATGAAGTTATTCGGGACAAGGTGGGAGTGGCCTCTGTGGAGGCAAAGATGCGTGAGGCAAGGTTGAGATGATTTGGGCATGTTAAGAGGAGAAGCACAGATGCCCCAGTCAGGAGATGTGAGAGGTTGGCCTTGGGAGGTGAGATGAGGGGTAAAGGTAGACCTAAGAAGTCTTGGGGTGAAGTGATCAGGCAGGACATGGCGCAACTTGAGCTGACCGAAGACTGACCTGATGATCCTAGATAGAAGGGTGTGGAGGTGGAAGATTAGGGTGGAAGGTTAGTAGGTAGTCGGGCGTTTCCCTTTGTCTTCCCTAGTTCGATAGTATTAGTGCTAGTATGATACCCTTTTTTCCTTAGTTTGCTATAGCCACGTGTCCTGTTCTGTTACTACTTACCTTCGGTAATTCCGTAGTTTGCTAGCAGGACTTCGTCATATTCTCGTGTGTTGCCTAGGACTTATCTGTCTAAATATACTATCTTGATATTACTTGTTATCGGTACTATCTTGCTATTCTTTGTTGTTATCTCCGATTTAGTTTTCTAACTATTTGTCTTGTTATCACTTGCTATCAGGGCTTCCTTCACCTTCTTTAGCCGAGGGTCATTCGGAAACAGTCTCCCTACCCGTAGGGGTAAGGCTACGTACATCCTACCCTCCCAGACCCCACTTGGTGGGATTATACTGGGTAGTTGTTGTTGTTGTTGTCATATCTGACCCACCAGCCCGTTTGCCACCCCTATAATTGTAATCACTCAATGGAAGAATATTCTCATTCAAAGGAAGTCCATTGTTTCTAATTGTATCTTTGGCAACTTCCAACAAACTAAACCTAATAGACCAATACAAATTAAAAAAATCAAACCATATAGTATACCTTAAGTTATAAACAGTCCATACAACATGGATTTCTTTTTGATGAAACATTCATTTATCATCAAGGATGTCTTGTACCGTTTATATATAACTTTGGAGGTTACAAGGTAACATCAACTATAGTAAAAACTTCAGTTCTTTACTTTATGACGGGACTATTAAAAGAGTTAATGGTATTACAAGATTGACTACCCATGTTCTGCCCTAGCAAAATTGAGCAACCGGTTCCTAACAAGATTTAACAAGGAGTTCCTACTGCAAAATTCTCTTTAGATGGAAAGAAATAAATAACTTATTATTCTAGGATTTCGCAATTGCATAGAAGTTAATATCTTACTGTGTCATCACCCGAATGCTCTGCAGATGTCAGGAAAATTACTAAAGCCAGCATGGTAGCATACAACCCACTTAGTAATCACTAGGAGAGCTCCAATTCTTTTCAAAACCATCATAAGATATCGTCTTTTAACTAACTCAGTACACGAGCAATAGCAAGAAATTAACATAAAGTGGCAAATGAACTAAATGAGATATTAATCTTACAGCATTTCTTTTAAGTCTCCCCCGGAAAAATAGCAGTGTAGTTCTCTTTGATGCAGATAAACATTTTGCTTCACATAGATCAACGTTGGCAACATAAGGAAGTATCAGGTCTTTCTCGAGATAAACTTGCCCAGGCTTGTACCTGAAGTTCAAAGTAGCCACCATAGTTGATGTTAGAGCTGGCAAGTGGCAATAATATTCAATTGTTGTAGAAATTAGCAGTGAAGATATTAACCAGTTCCCTGTTGAGTCCATATCTGGGAGCAACCAAATAGCTTTCTTCATAAACTTGCGGACAGACTTGAAAGACCAAGGATGATGAACTGGAAGTATGTGATCTCTTCCCTCAGATCTATTCCAAGCTGGTTGATCCATAACCCATTTCAAAGCTTCCTACATTAAGAAAAGTAATAAAAATATTGACTTGTGACAAAGAGAAGGCTACACAAAGTCTAGCATAACAAAGTCTTTAATCATGGCTCAGAATTCCAAGTTCTATTAAACAATAAATAGATACCAAAAAGTATCAAATTTAAGATATCTATTCAGGTGTTTAACCATAAGGATGTGCAAACTAGAAAACTGGCCAGTTAATCTTTTGAATTTGACTCATCATATTGACTTATGACAAAGAGAAGGCTACACAAAGTCTAGCATAACAAAGTCTTTAAACCTGGCTCAGAATTCCAAGATCTATTAAATAGATACCAAAAAGTATCAAAATTTAAGACATCTGTCAGGTGTTTAACCATAAGGATGTGCAAACTAGAAAACTGGCCAGTTAATCTTTTGAATTTGACTCATGATAGGCTATATCAAAAAAGTAAAGGCTCTAAGCTCTGCTTCTTCGACTAATTGTTCGCATCGGATCTCAGGTTCTCTATTGTACTCCCTAAAAGGGGTTCTTTTCACCTTATTTGTGTAGGTAGAAGTTCCAAGTATGGTAAATTGAAAAGGGGAAAGGGACAAACTTTTAAGAATGCAAATAAATACTAGTTTCCCCACTCAGAATTAACCAATAGTGGAATAATTTTACAAGTGCTTTCCAACAGGAGGGTTTTCTTTCCTTTTTCCCCCAATTCCGCAAAGGCGCAAACAGAGCAGCATGTCTGCTACTAAAATTTGTACCTTGTTGAGATGATAATGCTAATGTGCTTCATACAAGATAAAGAGTCCTAAGGTAATACAGAAGAAGGCAGCATCCGTGCAAGCAGCTTCAAAGGTATGTTAGAACCTCGGGGATAATAATGAATGTCGCCGTTTGTTACCAAAGAAATTGCTTCTTTACTCATTTCACAATATTATTGGATGCAAGTCCATTAGCAAACACGCTGTAAATGCCAAAACTAGGTTAAAGAGCTGAGAACCCCAATGCAGTAGAAGAATTAGTGTGCCTAAGAAACAAGAGGGAAGAAGAAATATAGCTATGATTGCTATTAGAAAAGTGGGCCATAATGTTCCCAAAACACTTTCAAGATTGTGCTTCAGCCAAAACAAAAAAGTTTCAAACCACATGTAGTTTGAAGTAATAGTAATGGAGAGAATGATATCACAAGAAGCAAATTTCAGTGAGAAAATAATTAATTAAAAAACAAGTTGCTAAGCAAGAGAATGTCTTAGGGTTCGAACAGAGCTAGTAAAGAAACAATAAGAAATGAGGAAAAAATGATGTAGACGAAATGCACTCACACCCTATAAAGAGCCTTGCATTGCTGCTTCTCCATCAAGAAGAAGCTAATGGTAGTGAAAAACGGAATGTAGAACAGATCAGCTTCCTCCTGCTTATGCACTCTAATTACATTCCTCAATAGCCTCTCTGATTCTGGTGCTATTAAGTCCGCCCATAACCAGTAATCAATTGAATGCTACACAAAAAAAAAAATCTCTCCATAATGAGCTAAACAAATGTAATTAGACGAATAAATGATACTTAAAAAGAACACTGCAAAATTACCTGTTCAATCAAGCGGTGAACAGGACTACCATTAGAGGTGAGATTCGAAGTCTCTCTATACGTGTTATGAAACAACCAGAGCAAATCATAAGTGAATTTCGATGGCATTTGGTATACATAAACTTTGAGAGGCGAAAAAGCAGGGTAAAACGGCTCATCATAAAGCCTTTGATTCTCATTTTTCCAAACGGAATCGTCCAGGTTCTTAGCATCCTCAACTGACGTTGTTCCTGAAACTGTATCGTCACCGGCCGTCGGGGATCGCGGAGATTTGGTTAGGAATTTCTCGAGTGAAGCTACAAAGGAGTAATCGATCTCGGAGTTAGGGTTTCGGGAGGAATAGTGGGACGGGGAAGAAGTGGAGAAGCTGGAGAAGATGTAGAAGAGAAGGGTGAGAGCGAGAAATGAGAGGAGGAAAAGTAGTGCCGGAGATCTGGGTTTGAAGGTTCCAGAAGCAGCACTGTAATGTCTTCCGGCCATTTAGATAATTGAATCGCTGCTCAACACCACAATGACAATCGTTCAATCGCTGATTCACACACCTTAGCTCGGAGTATATGTTAGAAAAATAGGAAATAGCAGACTGATTACAGAAAAATCTGCTCGTGTAAATTGCCAAACCCCTCTCGCTCCTCTTTTTCTGAGCTTTTGACCTTTTTATTTCACCTCAACTTTCACTGCATCCTTACGATATCCCACTTAACTGAAACATAACTTTAAGTTTTTCAAACTTAACCGATAACATCCTTCCGTTAACTTTTCCATCACTTTCTAACCGAGCTTTCTTTTTCTCATGTGCATTGCTTCTTCTTCATTTCCCCCTACCTCCAGATAATTTCCAGCAAGCTCTTTAAAAATAGAAATAATTGACTAGTTAGTCGTCCGACATCTAACCAGCAACACACCTTCTCCAAAAATTTCTCCCTTTTATGTTCAAAACCTCACAGATTCAACCCATATCACTAGATTCTTCGTATGCAAGGCTAGTCCATGTGATAGAGAGTAAGTTTTTTTTTTTTTTTTTTTTCTTTTTTTTTTTTTTTTTTGCCTTTTTGGGAGGAGGGGGAGCGGAGGGGGGAGGGAAGAAGAATCACCAGGAGTGAATGAAGAAGAACAACAAGAACCTGCAGGAAAGATAATATGAGATTTGATCTCTAGTTCCAATACTCTAGGAGGTCCTTTGGTACAAGGTATAAGAAGGTATAGTGCTGATATAAAAATTAAATATCACCTTTGTTTACCTCGAAAATACGAGTAATAATTAAATTTGATTAGTGGTTTTAAAGACATGTGATTTGGTCCAATACCAATTAATAATCAAGAAATATGAAGTAGAAATGAACGACAGAATTGAATCAAACCAATGTTACTTAGCAGCAGTGACCTCGAGGTGGCTCAGGGCAGTAAGAACAATTAAATAATAAAAATAAAGTAAGAATAATGGAGTTAAAGGACAATGTTGGTAGAAAGTATATTCTTTTCACAGCGATGATAAGATGATCTTATAAATGATTGGGGTCCCCTTTATATAATAGAGGAGCCCTAAATAAGGAATATTCTTGGTACAACTGTCTAACCGCTTAGTACGGAGTCATACAATCATATTTTGTGATTTGCGCCATGACTTTGGGGACGTGGCAGAAATCTAACTTGTTCTGGTACAAATCCATAAAGTACTATTTCGAGGTCGAGAACACCTGACATCGGGTATGCATCATGCTTCGCCTTCGAACTCGGGTCTGGTCCCTCAAGCTCGAACTTGGTCTTACCCGGACTCGGACTTTGGACGACCTCTCAATTATCTAGATCGAAGGCATTCGATCTCAACCGTATACAACCTTAATACTTCGTTTGGTTAGCAAATCAGGCATAAGTTATTCCAGGATTAAAATTAACACCGGGATAACTTATACCTTATAGAAGGTGGGGTAATTAACACCGGTATAACTTATACATTCTTCTTACAAATTATGCAATTGTCATATTTAATACAACATACCAAACAATGGATAAAAGACATTCCCAGCATAACTTATACCAATATAACTTATCACGACATAAGCCGTATTCAAACCAAACGACCCCTAAGTTAATATCTTTTCTGTTGTTTTATTAATGGGTTAGTTTCTTCAAAAAGAATATAAATCTCTTAGTGGAGTAAATTAGTTTTGGGTGACTATAAAATGTAAAGCATTTCACGAACAATTAATTTGGCAGCCTGCTGATGAAAATAAGAGTCGTTCTCTATAACCAGCCCAACTCTTTACAAATAATATCTGTGACGCATTTGTGATGCAAGAGTGCTTCAGATACAGAATTTCAAAAAAGTTTTCTACGGTGGAAAACATGAAGTGCACATGAGAAAAAGAAAGCTCCGTTATAAAGTGATGGAAAAGATAACGGAAGGTTCTTGGTTAAATTAGGAAAACCTAAGGGATGTTTTTAGTTAAGTGGGTTATTATAAGGATGTAGTGAAAGGTGAGGTGAAACAACAGGGATGAAAAAGGTCAAAAACTCTCTTTTTCTTTTGTAATTTCGGTTTACTTGATTAGTGGTCTCTCGTCACTTTTTTTTTTTCTTCTTAAACATTGAAAAAGACTAATCGATTTCAGTAAGCTACATATGTTTCATAATTGTCTTGTTTGGCTTTCTAACGTATATTTACCATTTTCAATAATAGTCTTACAATGTTATATATATGTTTAGTGGCGGAGGCACATATTTATTAAGGTGATTCAAAATATTAAAAAATAAACACATAAATAAGCTAAGTAAATTTAACATATGGAATAGTATATATATGGGGAAAAATTACCTAATTACACAGTATAAGAGTGTCAATTGACACCCCATGAACAAAGGTGGTTGTGCCACTGTACATCTCCTCCACTTTGATAAGCTTAATAGCAAATAGGTAGTCTATTTTTTACTTTTAATTCTTTATATCTTATTTCTTATTTGTTAATTTTAGCCTTTTTTGGATGTTATATAATTCTTCTCGATAAAATTTTATCCGCACCGATTGCTATCACCATCTAATAGATACATAACATGCGTTTGTAAATAAATTGATCTCACTTAATCATGATTAATTAATACATATTTTCACCTATTCAACTAAATACAAAAAAAAAAAAAAAAAAAAAAAAAAAAAAAAAAAAAAAAAAAAAAAAACTTGCTCTACCTCCTCCTCTTTCAATTCACTACGACATCAACACTAGTATTTGTGACAGGTAAGTTGAAGAAAGTTCATTTCTTAATTGAATGTACAAATTGAAAATAAAGTGTACTAGTTTTCTTGAGATGGCAGGAA